CCACTGTTTTAAATTCCATTACCAGGCAGACAAGGAAGTGAAGAAAGCACTGGACTATGACCCGGAGGACCTTGGTCCTGATTTTGGCTGGTCACCTGATCTTTCCAGGCCTTAGTTTCCTCATCTATAGAACAAGGAGATTGTACAAATAATCTCCAAGGCTCCTTTCACTCTGTAATTCTTGATTCTCAGGTATTAGACTATGTTCCAGGATTATTTCTTTGAGCATCAAATTAAATAATATGTAGATTGTGGAATATAACACAAATCTTATTATTTTTGCTATGAGTGTCGCACCCTCATTTCAGAGCCAGTTACAGTTGGGCTTCAGAAGTGTTGATGACAGTGCTGATGTGTAGCTTCCAAGTATCATTTGATTTGTTTCTTTTTGGAAGTAGTTTCAGGCCCAGTGAAAATGAGTGGCAGAAATGCTAGTAAATTGAATAAAAGGTGGAGGAGGGCAATACAGTTTGCCTACCATATTCTGGGTGCTTTACAGATGTTATACCTTGAAGTAGGATTATCATCCCATTTGACAAAGGAACACCGGGGAGCTCGCCTAAGATCACATAGCTGGTGAGTTCAGAGTATGTGGGAACAAGGGATATCAGGCTCCACTTTACTAGTTCTGCTCACAATCCTTTAATAACTGAAGCATCTGTTGCCAAATCTCAGCTCTCTCTCTACCTCCTGTCAATTACATGAACACCAACTCACTTCTACAAGTAAGAGACATAAATGAACAGCAGAAAGAGGCCTTCGGAAAAGTCAGTAGAATTGGAAAGAGAAATCTGGATTGCAACCTCCCCTCAGTTCAGGAGCTATCCTGGCATAACGTAGCTTGTTGGAGAGCATCCTGATCAGTGCTGTTGACCCTGCTTAACAGTCTGTCACTGAAGCCTAGTGGTGAGAGACTTGGTCCCACTCTGAGGAGGACCTATGCCCAGTGGTCAACATTCATGGGCCCTAATATGCTTCAGAGAAGGAGACCACACAATGAGGACAAACATCTAACTCATGATCAACTCTTGATGCAATATCGTTGGGACAGTTTCCTTGCTTTTGGTTGGTTTGTTTATTTTAATTTGTTTCTTAAAGAGACACTCATTTCATGATTCAGGTCCTTTCCAAGAAAACATAAATCAAGGTTGGACATTAATATCCAGAGAGTGGAATTCAGCATAAGGAAGGGTGGTCTAGCTGTATCATTGTGGAGACTTGTGACTCTTACTTATAGAACAGGCATAAACAAGACCTTTCAAAAAAGCTGACAGCCCACAATACTCCCTTCAGGGTAGAAAGCATTATTATGTATGCTTTAGGGATTGCTACGGAAACAATCAACAAAGACACAGTCAACAAATGAATGCCATCAGGCATTTAGAGACAAACATCTCTTAAGAAAAACCCATTCTTGCCAAGTTAAACAATAACCCAAACCCTTTGCTTTTAAATATGAAGGAAAGAATGAAAAATCAAACCCATTTTTCTCTTTCTTCTCTTATTATATCACTCTGGCACCTACTTTCATAAGGAAACTAAGAACATAATCTATTGTACTAATTGCTCCAAGGGCCTTAGAAAGAAGATTATCTCCAATTCAATTAATTTTTTTTGTGATAAATAGTGCTTGTTATAAATAATTCTTGAAAGGTGAAAGTATTTTCTATTTTAATCATGCGAAATATCAGAATGGATGACTGATCAACTATATATTAAAAATTATCATTCTTTATTTAATATACAGCTACTGGTACCTGACATTTTAGTTATACTTCCCATAAGGCAGAGCAGTTTAATAATATTGGTCAGTATTATTTTCTCCGCATAACACATTTTCACAGGCTACTCCCAAGCTTGCTAAGCTGTGGGATAACAAATGGGAAAAAAACACACCACAGGCAACATTTACCCATCCAACAGACAAAACAAGAAAGTGGAACCCAGGCCTAGAATCCTCTAGTGTTACTCAATCAAGGCAAATTTTTATCATCTTCTGCCCAGGAGGTCCCATGGGGCAGGAAATATTGATTTAGGAATTTGCTGGGCATGACTGTCTGTGTGTTGCAACTGTGTTCTTTTATACCGCTTCTTAATATATGATACATTGTTTCTATGTATGCTAAGGCTGAATAACAAATTAAATCTGGCTATTCAATAAACATGAAATGAAAACGCTGAACTCTTTTTATAATTACTAACTTGAGGTCATTCAAGTTCACTCCACGGTGTGCAGGATTGTACAATGCATTGTTCATATCTGGGCCCAGCTTCATCTCTGCCTTCGTCTCACAACCGCACAACCTCTGCTGCATCCCACAAGACCTGATGCCAGTCTTCCTGTGAGTGGGATTTGGAGAGCCCGGTGTTCTTCGTTGTTCGCCTGGGGCTTCTCAAAGCCCCGGCACTGGTTGGGGCCATGGGTATCGGGGAGGAGCTAAAGCTGGGCCGAGAGGAAGTCTGTGGTGTGAAGAAGAGCAGGAGCCATTTATTATCTGAGCAGAAAGAAGCAGTCTGGAGCAAGTGTGAAGGAAATAAAAAAGGCCATGAAGCATAAAGAAAGGCACATGCAGAGTTATTTCATCAGCTGAAAATGTTTGCTCTGTCCCATTCTACATGTCCATCTGATAGCCAGTATTAAAGCGAAGGAGCACATATTAATGCACAGCATTAAGCATTTATTTGTTCGTTTGCTCTACTCATTTGGTGCTTCCCACGTCAGATCAGCAAAGCAGTTACTATGAGGACTCTGGAGTCAGACTGCCTGGGTTCTAATCCAGACTCTGCTACCTTCTAAGAATGTGATCATAACCTCCCTTGGCCTCAGGTTTCTCATCTCTAAAAGGAGGACAACAAAAGTGTCTCTTTTCTTGTAAGATTATTGCAAAGGAAGATAAGATATAGATACATAATAAATGAGGCATATGGATACATGTATGTATGTACATATGTAATTATCACATATCTATCTTTATGTCTACCTATCTATCTTCACCTAGAACAGTGCCTGGCATACATCTAAATCAATGACGTTCAGTAGAATGATCAAACTCACTTGTTTTGTAGTTTCTATTCAACATCTCACACCTTTAGGCCTTGTCTTCTTACCCTCTATAAGCCCCTTGAGGGTTGGGAAGCAATCTTATATTTTGTGGTGGCTAATTGTTTTTGTTGTCCCATCAGTTGTGGGTGCACCCCTCCTCTGTTCTCAGTCCATATGACTTAGTGGCAGGTGAACCAGGTCCAAACAGTTTCATTCATCTGGCCAGAGGGAGGGTACGTGACTTGAGCCTGGACATGCAAGCCCTCATCAGAAGAAGGCGTATTGATGCCTGACAGGCTGGCTTGAAGGCTGTGGAAACGGAGCACTTGGAGCGGCCATCTTTGCCTCCTTTGGGGAGATCTTGCTTGAGACTGGGGACATCATTGAGGGACACAGAGCCAACAGATGGAGAGAGATGGCCCCTGAGGACATCGCTTGAGTTTCTGGATTCAATTTCGCCTCAAAGGAATGCTCTTTGGATCTTCTGATTTTATGAGGAAATAGTTTGTCTTTGGTTTATTTAAATTAGTTTGTATTAGATTTGCAACCAAATTATACTAATATACATTTTCTTCAAGTCAACTTGGTCTACAAGATCCTCTTTGATGCTATTGATCTTATATAAGGCCCTATACCACATAGGAGACAACCAATATACATTTATTGCATGTATGAATGAGTGAAAAATTGTAAAAACTCTCAAAACCAATGAGTCCATTATTTTAATCTCCTGTGCATTATCGTACTATCCTAGGCAATTCAAGTTAAGTGTATCTTGACATAGGAACAAATCCTTTTGTAGAGAAACACATGATGTAGCTCTGAGGATCTTGTTGGATGAACTGGATTGCTAAGAAAACTGCTTGGGGAGACCAGAGATTTAATGTCAGAAGACGTGAATTCCATTCAACATAACGAATTCCATGGTCAGCTCAGTGTCTTAAACTCCCTGAGCACCATTCTTCATGCACAAAATGGGAAAAGTAATACTTGCCTTCCAGGGTTGTTGTTAGGCTAAAGGAGCTGGTTGATGTGACAGCTAAGAATGATACACATGTTATTTGTTGAACTTTTTTCCAGACACGCTGATTTCAATTGGTGATGGATACACACCTGCCACATCATGAGCCTAAATGCGTTTAAAATGGTTTTTCTAGTCAAAGGCACAACAGGAGGCACATTTCAGAAGGACCTTTGTAAACATACGCCATCATATCTGCGTCTGGGATGGGACCTTTGGCGGAACAGTGTCCTCGACTGTAAAAGGAATGGCCCCACTGCCACGTTATCCCCCAGCTTCCCCTCCGCGTTGCCATCTCAGGGCTCCCGAGGGCAGATGTGATGCTGTGCTTAAGACGAAGTTCCTGATAGGCCTTTTGGCCACCCCTGGCTCAGTACCTGTGAGCCGGCACTCCTTGGGGGGTTTCTGGTGGGCGTGGCGAGAAGCACCTGCTTTGGGCTCTCCTGAAGCTTGCTCCAATCCCCTCGTTTTAAGGTCTGCAGTCTCCCAGCTATTCCCCCAACCGTGCTTTGCGAGATCCGGTTTCCGTCCCCGGTGGGTAGCTCTCAGGCCCCGCTACAGTTCCCCGAGCTCCCCGTGCGTGCGGGACGCACGGAGCCGGGGAGAGCCCCGCGCCGCGGCCCCTTTAAGAGCCGGCCCAGGCCGCGGGCCGGAGCGCGGAGCGCAGGGCGCGGGCGGGCGGAGCTGGAGCCGGCGCAAAAGTTTCCTCCCAACTCGGGCCCCGCCGCCGCCGCCGCCCACTCCCAGGGCCGCCGCCGGGGCAGAGCGGGGCCGGGGCCAGGCCGGCCGGGCCGCAGTTCCGCTTGGGCGCGCGCGCGGAGAGCCGCCTCGGCCGGGCCCGAGCAGGCGCCGCCGCCAGCCGGGGGGGCCCTTCCCGCCGCCGCCCCTCCGGTCCGCGCGCCGGCCCGGGGCGAGGGCGCCGCGGGGGAGGCCGGGTCTCCAGGCCCCCCGCGCCCGGCCGCCGCCCCCGGGGGCCAGGCACCTGTTCGGCCGGCCTGGCGTGGTCGCCGGGGCCAGGATGAAGGTGACCGTGTGCTTCGGCAGGACGGGCATCGTGGTGCCCTGCAAGGAGGGCCAGCTGCGCGTCCGGGAGCTCACGCAGCAGGCGCTGCAGCGCTACCTGAGGACCCGGGAGAAGGTGGGCGCGGGCGCGGGCGGGCAGGCGGGGGGCGCAGGGGCCAGGCACCTGCCAGGTGCCCAGGACCGGGCGGCGACGCAGAGCACCCGGCGACTGGGTTGCTCACCCCCCGTGGCCACAACTTTCGTGCGTTGCTAGTCTAAGTGACCTGGGTGTCGCTGGGCGTCTGTGGGCCTTGCCTCTCAGAGGGTGGTGGGAGGAACCGCAGCCTCGAAATCCCTCGGGGACTCGTTAGAAATGCACAGTCTGGGGCCCTGAACCAAGCCCCCTGCCTCAGTGGCTTTCCAACAAGCTCCCAGGTGGTTGGAATGACCGCTGAAGCGGGAGAAGCGCTGCTGTAGGAGTTGGAGGGAACGCTTCTCCAGGGCACGCCTGAAGCTGCTGCTCACCTGGGGTGTGAGTTTTGACCCGCCGAGGCCCGCCCCACTTCTGCTCTTTGAGTTAGAAAGTTGACTGGTGCAAGTAGGTTACAGCCGATGGGCCCTTGGAATTTCTGCCTCGTGAGCCGTGCTCCCTAAGTGGCTGGGCAGGAACTCAGGTGGAGGGATGCTGTTTGCTTACACCAACCGGTCTGCGTTCTGAGTACTTTTAGTTTAAGCCCACACATTCTATGAGCATTTACTGCGTCAGGTCCTGGGTGACATACGACAAAGGGTGTCTCCAGCTCTGTCCCTGAAGTCAGAAACAAGTAAAAATTAAGTGACTCTTGTTTTTAAGTGTCCAGTGCGTGTTCAGAAGACCTAGGGGGACACTAGAATTCATCTCAGGTGTTTGGGTAACATGCTGAGCCTCTGTCTTCTTCAGTAGAATCTATAAATGAAGGCATTGAAGAGCACTTTTTTATTGTTTGGATACTCAGGTGGAACATCTTGTATGTCCCAAATACTCCTCAAACAGAACGAGTCATAAACTCTTGCTTTAGATGCCAATGGTTCTCTTAATTGTTCTCATGCTGTGGGAATTGTAGAAATAGTGTGTTGGCCAATTTGGTGATGGAAAGATGTAATTTGTAATTTCTTTTAATGTCTTATAGGTTATCCAAGGAATAAAAGTAATTTTGTTTCTTCCAAATATATAGTTGAGACATTTAAGAAAATCTCTGCACCATCTGTGCCTCTGCTAGGAATTATTATATGGAAAAACATTCTACTCTGGGTAAATACACATGTATGTTGCCTTGAACAGTCAAGATTTGGGAAAGAGTGTAGTGATAGGTCTGTTAATATACTAACGATGATCCCCGAAGCTGAACTCTTTACTAACAGGATTTAGGTAGAGGAGCGAAGATAATCAAAGTGGCCTATAAAACTATGAGTATCTACCCCAATGTTTTTTCCATTGTTACAATAGTGTGTGCTCTTTATATTGTGTAATTCAGTTAAAAACTGAGATTTACACAAGTAACCAATTGTCCTTGAAATCATGTTTCACTAACTTCTGAAAGTAAGCTAAGGTTAATAGTAACAACATTATTCTAGACAAATTATTAAATTAGATCTCATTGAAGGATTGTCTCACGGAAAGGATCAACTTATTTTTATTTTTGTCATTATTAAAAATAATTTATGCCCTAAAATCTCATATATTTGGAAGTTTAGTATGTGGAGCTGTCCATGTAATAGAAGTAAGCTACAAGCTTATAAATAACATACAGGGAACTAACTAGGAAATATTTAATGCATTGTAATTTGATCTTAAAAGGTGTTAAAAAGCTATTGATATTCTGGACTGAAAGCCTAATTTATAATATCACAGATCCCATAATGTAATTGTATTGATCAGTTTACCATTATTACCAGACATTACATTTTTCTGTGTTTACATTTATATATTAGCGAATGTGACATTTAAAGGTCACCTGCAGCTTATAAATCCTCCCTCCCTTCTTTGGCTTTTAAAATCTCAATTTAATAAGTGGCAAGTGATATTTTTTCCCTCCCAAAGTATTCCTCTCCCATAGTTTCATTGTAAATAGTATTGTAATCATAACAAGGCTTAACTAATATTAAATGGTATTCCTAATGGAAGTAAAATGTCAAGAAATACTCTGACAAATTCCATGCTTTTATCTATTGAATTCAGAAAATAATGGGAAAAGACCAGAAATGTCAAAATTCAATTTGAAAAATAATTTGTTATAAATTCACTTTCTTTAAATGAGTGAAAGAGATTTAAAAGGCTTGTTTCCCTGGACAGCAAGGTTTTAAGCCCTGCACTGAATGATAACATAACAACTACCGTGAATGGTGCTTACTGGGTGCAGGCACTGTTCGAGGAGCGTTACGTATATTAAATGACTTACTCCACGCAGTAGGTACTAATATCCCCATCTTACAGATGGAGGAAAAAGAGACGTGGAGAGACATGCATGTAGAATTGGGATTTGAACCCAGAAACGGTGTCTCCTTGTCCTTACTCTCAGTCATTAACTACACATCCCCCAGTAAGTTATTATGCATTGAAATTTACCCATCTTATTTATTGTTTACAGTTTGTTTTAAAAAGACAGTTCTATCTACAAATTGCTACGATAACCTGTCAACCTGAAGATAGCAGTTTTGTTTCTTGCAGAGAGATGGGACATCCGCAAGTTCCTCTTGAGTATATCTTTTACAGTACAGGTCTACGTGTTATAGGGAGAAGTCCAATTTCTGAGACAAATATTGCAGGATTTGCAAATAAAGTATGAAAAATATTCCTCAGTCCTATTACAAATGAAAAAAGTTGGGTAAGATCTCTTAGATATCCAAGTAGAGAGTGCTGTAAAGACAGATTTGGCGGGAATAGGAATGTAAATTAAGCCTGATTCTTCGGGGGCCCTGAATAATTTAGATGAGAGGGAGGCAGATTTCAAGATTGAGGATAGCCTTGAGGTTTTCAGAGTTTGGAGGGTAAGGGAAGCCCAAGGAGGCCACTCTGGATTTTGTGGGCAGCCTCAGAGAAGTGTCCTCCTCCTGCTGAGAGGAAACGAGGAAGACTGGTGTTTACGGAATGTGGGGAACCAGCTGAATCAGCATCAGATAAGCCAGAAGGAGGCAAGATGCTGAAGAAACTGAGGGACCTTTGGGAAGGCTTTATTTATGTTCTGAAATCTGGGGCTTTGAGGTCCTGCTGCCTCCTTGCTCCCTGCCTTTTGATGAACTCTACTGGGGAGGTGAATTGACTAAGGGGCGAGAATTATGAGTTGCTTGTCTTTGGATCCTGGTAGTTTATCTGTGTCCCAGGCTCTAGATCCAATTTAGTTAAGTAGTTAGTGGAGGGGAGATTGTCTTTAGGTAGTCAAGGTGGGGATCATTGAGTAATTAGCTAAATTTATCACCAGAATTACCTGTCATAGGTGAATGGGTAATTGCATCATATCCTGCAGGTGCTCTCAACCCTGGCTGATCATTAGTTACTGCTAATTTTAACATTTTAAATAGTACAGATGCCTGCGTCCCTTTCTCCAAGATTCATGGTCACTAGGTTTGGAGTGGAGCCTAGGCGTAGGCATTTTGAAAACCACTGCAGGCGATTCAAATGCCCAGCCACGGTTGAGAACCATTTTCTACTACCATCTTTTGGTATCACCGAACTCATTTGATTTTAAGCTCTTCTGCTGGCAGATGCTGTGTCTTGGACAACTGCAGACCAACCTGCCATTAGCAACTGTCCCTCTACTCCTACCCTGAATGAATTCTCACAGCAGGTGCTCTAATAATTGATTAAACTGAACCTTCATTATATATATGTGTGTGTATGTATACACACACAAAATGAAGTTGAAGTGAATAAGGCAAAGACTTGTTTAGTGATGAGAATGTATAGTGTGTTGGAGAGTTGAAAGGAATGAGATAATATGAACATTGAGTTCATGGGATAGTAGGTATGCTGGAATTTTTAAGAAGCACATTTGGGACTGGCCCAGTGGTGTAGTGGTTAAGTTTGCATGTTCCACTTTGGCAGCCCAGGGTTCTCAGGTTCGGATCCCGGGTGCAGACGTATGCACTGCTTATCAAGCCATAGTGTGTCAGGTGTCCTGCATATAAAGTAGAGGAAGATGGGCACGGATGTTAGCTTAGGGCCAATCTTCTTCAGCAAAAAGAGGAGGATTGGTAACGGATGTCAGTTCCTCACCAAAAAAAAAAAGAAGCAAGTTTGTGGATCTGTGTGTATGAAAATACATTTTTTTAAAGCAAAAAAAATTTGATAAGACTTTTCAAAATGAATCTCTTCTGTAATCAGATATTTTGAATAATTTGCTTTACAAGTTGAGATCAGCTTCTCAGACCTGAACAAGAGTAACAACTCTGGTAGCTGATTCATTGTGGGATCAGAATCTAAGAATTTGTACAATAATGAGAATCTGGTATGATATTGTATGGAACTAGCCTGCAAGAATAGGCTAGAACTCTTGCATTCCTAAACTTTTTGGCTTTTGATGTCTTGTTTCCAGATTTTAAGGGTCTTGTATACATATCTAGGACCACAGTGGATTCCCAAAATGCTTTTCTATTTATCGGGCGCCGACTGACTGAGCGCTTTATTTCCCGTTCAGTTCTCCCCACTCCTAACGTGGGGACGGGATGCTCTGCCAAGCATGTGGACAGGTCTGACTTATGGTCGGCATGGCACGTGCTTCTCACTTGGTTTTGGTCCTGCCACTTGACTTGCGTTGAGCAGCCTCTGAGTTTGCAAACACAGGGCTCATGGGGCCTGCTGTGACCCACAGACGTGTTTTTTCAGTTCTGCTCAGTGTTATATTTTGACTTGGTTGTCATGTTTAAATATTTTGAGATTTCATGCAAAAGTCCAGATTTCTGTCATCTTTGGGGGAAAAACAAATCAGAAGCTCTGACAATACGGGGCTTTACTTGCCCACATAGCCACCGTCAGTTGGAGCTGAGGACACTTCTTTTCTCTTTAGAAGGCGTGTTACAATCTAGTCTCCATTATTACCTCCCCAACACTGAGTGTAAGTTGTTGTCCTCGTGCTTAACTTCTTACTCTGTTCTTGTTTT